AGTAGGTTATCTAAGAAAAACCAATATTTATCTCGAGGCTTGAGCTAGATGAGAAAAAAGTTGCATGATTTGCAATAATCCAGCCGCAATCATCTTCCAAAAAGTAAACGAAGTTTTGAACTCGAAAGTTTTATAATTTACAATATTCCGGTCGCAATCTCCTTCAAACTATAAGTAGATTATCGAACAAAGTGTGTCGTAATCGTGCATCTCTATGCGTGAAACCAGGCTATAACTTTCTGAGACTCGAAGCTTCAATAGATATACAATCATTTAGTATTTTGGCCAATGATATCTCTACCTTGTCGCTATCTGATCCAGGTTCATAAGATTGTTAATAATTCTTAAAGTCACAGTGTGTGTTTATTGACGGGTATATTTCAAATACATACAACATAATGCAATGAAGAATTTGAAATGGTGATGAAAAACAACATAATCACGTTCATAAAACAAGGATTACCCTCTTTATTGACATGATTGATAAAAACACATATATTTGTGGTCACTGGGAGAAATGGTTCAGACTCCATCCCTATTTACATGAAACTGTCACTCACTTCCCTTTAAATCCCATTTACACCATAATGACTGAAACCTGGTACTCTAATTGAAGTTGAAGGTTCTACTTCCTGTTATTGTGTTGTCTGAAGTTTCATGGCATTAAAACATTGTCAATAGTTTGTTTCCTCGTACGTCTTTACCTTTTGAGCTTGAGTTTATTGCGTCAGTCTTTCAGTTGGCTGGGTTGATATGAATATTGTCAAGTCGAAATCACCAAACAAGTTTTCTCTCACTCTGCACCTGTCTAAGGGACAAATTTACCGTCCAAACTGCGATTTTCAAAATCTTTCGACATCTTTAAGAAAAACCTAAAAACATTCTTATTTAATAGTGTTTCAGTATAACTGTTTTCTGCATTCACAGAAATATATTGATCGAGGGCACAATGAAACTGCAAGTAATTTGCGCCATATAAGCGAACTATTAGTATTACTATCAAGTTGTTCGCAGATAGCATGAAAAGCATGTTCTTGGTGCTACTCATTATTTAAACCCTGCAATTAGTACCGTTGTCTAAATTAAAAACCCCTCTCTGAATTTGAACATTATTGTTCGGGATAAACAAAAACAAAGTATTTATGAGTTAAAGGCTGTCTGTGAACATTCCCCAGAATTAGCACCATTGTAATTATTAAGGACCTTTCCTGTACTAGACTATATACAACGCTAACCACGGTTGATATGAACATTTTCAAGTTGTTCATAGGACAAAAACACAGGTACTTGGGGCTACATGCTATGTGCGTATCCCCCAATAAGTGAAACCCCATAATTAGCACTTTCGTCTTGATTTTAGACCTTTCCCTCAACTATACACGTTTTTTTTGGACGAGATTTTGATTGACGGAATTGTCTAGTTTGTATGGATTTTGTATTGGAACTAGTTGCGTTTCCTTAATTAAAATATAATACTATTTATTATTTATTTATTTTTACACAACGCAGCAACCCGATCCAAACATTTTGTGTTCATCTATGCGTATAATACTATTAAAGTGGCAGTTTATTTTATATATATCCTAGTGTAAAAGCAGAGTTAAACTGGACGTTAGGTCGGAAATTGGACCGTTTTCATAATAAGTAAACAAATAAAGTTCTTTAATAACTACTACACGAAGCTACTTAATATGGTTCTTAACACACATGAATATAGTTCACAACCATTTTGAATCTCTTTTTGACTCAATTAGTCGAATCTCGTAAAGGTTATAATAGTTCAAGAATGCCTTCAAGTAACAATAAGGTTAAGAAATGGCTTTAAATGTTATTTAATGATATATTACAGCCTTTTTAAAAAAAAATCGACTAATTAAATCGAGGTAGTGATTCAAAATGGTTGTGAAGAATTTAAAGACCGGGGGTACGAATTGGGAGCAGACTGAATCAATGGAGGACAATTGTTGAGGGTGAATTCGAAACTCTATGGAGGCGTTTTAGTCGTATGCGGAAAATTGAATTGATTTGGTGTATTCCGTCACATATTTTGGTGCAAAAACTCATAATATATCATAAAAATCATATTTTCAAATTTGTTAGAAATAAAGGGAGGGTAAAATTGGGGGTGCACCCCGCCCCCCTGTACCTCCACTGACACCGCCAGTGTTTATGTGTGTTATTTCCAGTTTAGTACCATACGTACTCCCGCACTCCCGCCAATGACACAGACTGCCTCCACTCTTTGACAGTAATTGAAAAGTCTAAGAACATAAGGAGAAAAGGTTTGAAAACAATTCTTGTTATTTTGATGAATGTACATACTTCCTCTTTAAAACAATAGTTTTAACAACATGTTATTGTGTGAATTTAAAATAAGTCTGGTGTTTTATCTCGTCATTAGAGACCTATGGTTGTATCATGAGGGACTTCTGGTTGTCTTCTTCTTTGATGCCTCAATTCTAAATTTTCTGACAGACTGCTCGCGATTTCTATAGATTGTGATCATGTCATTGTTTTCTTTTTTGTTCTTCGTGGAATAAGAGGCAATGAATTTAATTTTTCAAGCTTCACCGTCTAATGCTTCCTAATTCAAAGGCGATATCCAGACTAATTAACATAAGGCTACAATTTCGTATCCTTTTTTTTATTTTCGGATATTTTTAGTCTACATTGCACAATAGAGACCAAACATTTCAGAAAACAAAAAGAGATATAAATTGTAATCTAACTTTAATTAGATGGGACGATCAACTCGATCGATATTCCCATCATCAAGTTTTTTTCACAGCCGACTAGAGACACGAATAGCCGAGGTGCCGTGTCCGATGCGGTTTACAGTGTGGGCTAATCGATATAGAAAATAACAGAAGTACATCCGTCCGTACATGATTAGTTTCATCTATTTTCTGCTGTATAGATAATCACCGGACGCCTTTTCTCGTCTTTGCTGGAACATAATTCTTTATTTTATTGTTATTCAGTAAAACATTCTTGTTCTTTTATCATTATGTTACGTACATGTAATTTATTGGGAACATTGTGCCAACCGTTTACGTAACGACAATTACGTCACATTTTCCATTGTTTCTGCTTTCTTATGAAAATTCAATCAATTAGGATTGTATCTTATTATTGATAATGTTTTTCTTTTGTAGCTTTTTACCACCTACACTTACACTTACTATGTGCCACTGTACAACGCCAGTCTGAAACTCAACTTCTTGGTTTTCTCATTTTTACATTGGACCGTTGTACCCGTTGGTTAAACTTACTGCCGCTAGGGGCAGAATATGATCTTTTCTCGGCTTTAGATTAATACTTGAAAAAGAAATATATGTTATCTAGTTATAAATAGATATACTCATGTACATCTTAAGATATGGTCATAATTCTGGAGAACTGAATCGTTTAAATTAATTTTCCCATCGCCGAAACGGAAGTAGATTTACAACCAATCATATTCAATAGCCACTGTAGACTTTAATCAAACTGTTTCATCTTTCATCGAAGCTGTTCGTGGACAAAGAAGGACTGGATGATAAAGGTTAGCGATTCACTAGATCATCAAACAGCTATATTGGTCAAATTCAATATGACTTTGTAGCCACAATTTGGTCTTAAAGATACATTCTTTAAAAGCTCTGTTGTCGCTTTATTTAAATTTAAAACGTGAGAAAGTCTTTATTCTTTAATGCGTAAATTTTCTTTCTTGACGGTTTCTCATTAGAATTCAAAACGTCTGACTTCCGCCTTCCACAAAGACATTTATATTCCGCTGCCTTCAGAACGAAATTTGGAACGAGAAGGAATAAAAATCATCTTTCTAAATTGTTAGAAATGAAGTGGGGTGCAATTGGAGGGGGGGGGGGGGACAAATCATTTGTCTAGGGTGACAAAAGCCCCATTTCCTGTACACACATTTAATTTTAAATTCATCAATGACGCGTTACATTGGGAAAAAACAATAAAATAAAAAAAAAATATAAAAAAAAAAATATACGGGATCTGAATAATGACCTCCTAATCAAATGTCTTATTAAAAATAGACCATAGGCTTTCTCTCTGTTTTTTCAATTGTTTTTATAAATGTGAAAATTAAAGCAAATAAAAACGGAATGAAAGTGTGATGAAATATTTTATTTGGCTGATTATTAACCACTGTGTCTTATCTCAGCTAGTGCGAAAAGAGTGGTGTTTCACGCGATGAGCAGGGCAGAAGGGGGGCGGAGAGGATGGGGGTGGGAGGAGTTGCTGCAACTCGATTTCTCCACCCAATGATTTTTAGAAACACTTAACTTTTCTGAACTTTTTGAATCTAATAGAGTCGGATAATGTCGTGCTTTGTGTAATGCAAAGACGGTGGCGTTGATTTTCTCTTTTTTCTATTGTCCTATTGTTCTATTTCTATTTCCAACGGTCGGGGTGACCATGCACGACCTGTACCACATGAGATCAAGTACTAATCTCGGATTATTGATTACTTCTCTCAGCATAAACATCTAGTTAGATCAAACAATTAAGAAAATATTGCGCATTAAAATAATTTTACAAATTGATCTAGAAAATTAAATAATGATAATATTGAAATATTGATAAGTGCTTCAAGTTCTTCCGTAAATAAATTACTTATATATCTTCTTGTGCATTATTAATATATTAAATAAATAACACAAGTTGTGTGAATTCTCGAAAAAAAGGGTTAAGGGTTTTCGATCGCATCATATAGAGGAGTCTTGTGAAGGATATAGACCTCCAGTACTATTTTTTTGTTGGTACATTCTTATTTGTAGTGTTCGGTGGGTATACTTAGGTCTACTCTTCTACATACCCTTTACTACTCTTCATTATGCAATACTTACTTATGATTGATATACTTCCTCATGTGAATAGTTCATTAACTGCTATCAATGTTTCGCCAATAGGTTATTTGGATTTAGGGTTTCGTTATGTGGTTTGGATTGTTAGTACTTTGTTTATTTAAATATTGTAACGTATATTGTATTGTATGTTGTTGTGACATACCGTTATCCAGATGAACGTATTTCTTTTCCAGTATAGCACTCGGATATACAATAAATGTCCATTACCTGCTACTAATGTTTCTAAAGTATGTTGTTTGGATTTCGGGTTTCGTTTTGCGGTTCGAATCGTTAGTACTTAGTTTATTTAATGATAGATTGTGGATTTGGCCAGTGGTCTCTTCCATCTGTTCTTTAATAGCGAATGTTAGCTCTACCAGTTGGTAAAGCTTCTGGGCATTTAAATTTTCACAATTTCACTAGCGCCATAGACACCTGGTGTACAGAGATATCGTTATTCTGATATTTAAATTTTAAGGACGGCTTTTGATTGGTCAAAGCATATTGTTCTAAACCACTTACATACCACCATCCGCCATTCAGATAATAAGGGTAGCCGTTACAAGGTCTATCATAAGTACAGAATGGAACATCGATTTGACCACCTCCGAAACCATCACTACCATTGGTGTAAGATTCATATAACTTAACCCCTGCTGTCATTTGATATCGATTAGACTCAGACTGAATACTGAATGTCTCGTAGAACACACTGAACTCAGAATCTAAATTACGACAGTAAATCTGAAGTTTGAAGATATCTCCTTGATTTAACATGGCGTAAATATATTCCAGTCCGAGCCAAAAGTTTCCGACCGTTCCAAAAGGGTATTGGTAGTCCTTCCAAGCCTTGTTGAATGTTACATCATCAATTCCGTAAGTATTTCGAGCAAGGATAGCTAGATGACCGTTGCTATTACACAGGGCCTCGAAAGCCAGATTTGTATTTTTGGGTTTGAGCATGACATGTGTTAAACTTTGTTCCAGAGATACCTCGGTATCAAGCGCTTCTTTACAATCTGAAAAATTATTATTTATTATTATCCTAGTTGTGAAAATGAAATGAAATTAAATGAGTGGAGTTTTACGTCCTACTTTTCTTCACCTCATTGTGGAAAATGCTTATCTAATTTATGTAATTTTTGCTTTTCCGTCTTTTCCAATGGCAGCTCTTAAGGTCCAAGAATACTTTTTCAAATGCATAAAATTCAGCATTTAAACACTAAGGGCCGTATGCAGCGCTCTTACCTTGACTAAAGTCGAACTTTACAAAAATAGGATTATAGCTTTCATTTTCTATATTTGATAGTCAAATTTAAGCACGACTTTCGTAAAGATCGACCAGTGCATACCTAAAGTTCGACTTAAGTCGAACTTAAGTCAAAGTTTAGGTAAAGTACGAGCGCTAAATGTGGCCCTAAGTATTCAAAATGACACATGCCCCTCCTAGAATTCGAAATGTTTTAGCATGTTTATTATAAATGTCAAGGTATAACTCTAATAAATTTCAATGGACCCGAAGACAATTTCAGTCCAAGTTCATAGTGCTACAGTTGTGCACCAACATATAGTATATAACAAAACGGGTCCAGTTTGAACAGGCTACCAATCTGTGATGGTCGAACCACTTCAAGTTGGTAAGGGTAAGGATAGGAGACAGTTAAGGAGGGTGGGGGGAGGTGTGGTGTGTCAGCGTTACAAGGGGTTAAACTCACGTCATATCGGCAGCCCCTGCGATTGCTAATGAAACAAATCGTCAAGGAATAAAGAAATAAATTCTAATCACCGTAAACATATCTATTACACGATTCCCCAGCGAATCCTGTTGTACAAACACAACCATCTGAGTCAAATACTCCATTTACACAGTCACCGTCATTATTGGCATCTTCTACCTCGTATTGTTCATTCTACAAATATAAAGACTTACTCTATATCAGGGGCGTATCTAGAAATACCTGGGAGGGGAGTGTGACAAAAATGAGAGGTGGCCTTGAAGTTCCCATTTACCTCTAATGACCCACATGCCTAGTTTCCATTGCTTTATATAAATAATACAACTGTTTGATTGATCCAGTGGTAAAATATTATTTTAATGTAGAGTAGTGTCGATTTTTAAGTAATATTATTGTTACCTATATATTTCTTAATGTTTGTTTTCATTACATTACTTCCTCTTGACGGTGTGAGAAAGTTATATATATTCTATAACAATTGCCTTGTTTATCAATTTATCATTGGAAGTAATAAAACTTAATTCTAGAAATATTTATCTATAATAGTTGCCTTATTTATCAATTTATTGTTGAAAGTAATATTATATTCTAGAAATATTTATCTATAATAATTGCCTTATTTATCAATTTATTATTGAAAGTAATATTATATTCTAGAAATATATATCTATAATAATGGCCTTATTTATCAATTTATTGTTGAAAGTAATATTATATTCTAGAAATATTTATCTATAATAATTACCTTATTTATCAATTTATTATTGAAAGTAATATCATATTCTAGAAATATTTATCTATAATAATTGCCTTATTTATCAATTTATTGTTGGAAGTAATATTATATTCTAGAAATATTTATCTATAATAATTGTCTTATTTATCAATTTATTGTTGAAAGTAATATTATATTCTAGAAATATTTATCTATAATAATTGCCTTATTTATCAATTTATTGTTGAAAGTAATATTATATTCTAGAAATATTTATCTATAATAATTGTCTTATTTATCAATTTATTGTTGAAAGTAATATTATATTCTAGAAATATTTATCTATAATAATTGCCTTATTTATCAATTTATTGTTGAAAGTAATAAATATCTTAGAAATGTATATCCACAATAATTTCCAATGCTACTGAAGGACAATCTCAAACTGGGTTTTATTTTATTTACAAGTACGCCTTAGGTTCCATATTTTCAAAGAATACAATGAAAAAACTGTGGGTTTCTGTGTGTTACTAGACTTTATACTTGAAATAATACAAAGAATTAAAGGAAGCAATATATAGCGAAATAACATCTAGCACAATTCTTTGAAACACTCGAAATTGTCTGATTTCTTTTAAAGGTATGCTACCTCGTCGGATGGCCAAAAATTTAAATTTTAAACTTTACCACAATGAGTCTTTGTTAATCAGTAGACTTATCTTTGTCATATTTATACAACAGAACCCCTCTATAATCCAATATATCCATGAAACGAATTCATTTATCTGAATTAGTAATTCTAAAACATGCTAAGAGGCGTTTTCAATAATTACTTAGTTTAATGGATATATCGTCTTATACAGAGAATCTATTCTTTAGTCATGGTACCTGGTAAGTCCAACTGATTTACTCGCATTGGCGAAGTTTGAGACTTTAAATTTCTTGTTCTTTCCAAGAGGTAGTAGTATTGTTTTTAGGCAACTGGCAGCTGTTAATTTACCCGAGCCAGGCCAAATAAAAGTGTTTCAGACTAGTATAATAACTATAAAGACTAGGTAAGAGTCATCAAATTTTAGACTAGTATAATAACTATCAGAGACTAGCTAAGAGTCAGTATGTTTTTGACAAGTATAATAACTATCAGAGAATAGGTAAGAGTCAGTATGTTTTTGACAAGTATAATAACTATCAGAGAATAGGTAAGAGTCAGTTAGTTTTAGACTACTAGTATAATAATTATCAAAGACTATATGTGAGTCAGCTAGTTTCAGACTAGTATAATAACTATAAGAGACTAGGTAAGAGTCAGCTAGTTTTAGACTATAATAATAATTATTAGAGTCTAGGTATGAGTCAGTTAGTTTCAAACTAGCATAATATCTATCAGAGACTAGGTAAGAGTCAGCTAGTTTTAGACTAGTATAATAACTAACAGAGATTAGGTAAGAGTTAGTAAGTTTCAAACTAGTATAATAATTATTAGAGACTAAGTAAGAGTCAGTTGGTTTCAGACTAGTATAATAACTATAAGAGACTAGGTAAGAGTCAGCTAGTTTCAGACTAGCATAATAACTATCAGAGACTAGGTAAGAGTCAGCTAGTTTCAGACTAGTATAATAACTGTCAGAGACTAGGTAAGAGTCAGCTAGTTTTAGACTACTATAATAATTATTAGAGACTAGGTAAGAGTCAGTTAGTTTCAGACTAGCATAATATCTATCAGAGACTAGGTAAGAGTCAGCTAGTTTTAGACTAGTATAATAACTATCAGAGACTAGGTAAGAGTCAGCTAGTTTCAGACTAGTATAATAACTAACAGAGATTAGGTAAGAGTTAGTAAGTTTCAGACTAGTATAATAACTGTCAGAGACTAGGTAAGAGTTAGTAAGTTTCAGACTAGTATAATAATTATTAGAGACTAGGTAAGAGTCAGTTGGTTTCAGACTAGTATAATAACTATAAGGGACTAGGTAAGAGTCAGCTAGTTTCAGACCAGTATAATAACTATCAGAGACTAGGTAAGAGTCAGCTAGTTTCAGACTTGTATAATAACTATCAGAAACTAGGTCAGAGTCAGCTAGTTTCAGACTAGTATAATAACTATCAGAGACTATGTAAGAGTCAGGTAGTTTCAGACCAGTATAATAACTATCAGAGACTAGGTAAGAGTCAGCTAGTTTCAGACTAGCATAATAACTATCCGAAACTAGGTAAGAGTCAGCTAGTTTCAGACTAGTATAATAACTATTAGAGATTAGGTAAGAGTCAACTAGTTTCAGACTACTATAATAATTATCAGAGACTAGGTAAGAGTCAGGTAGTTTCAGACTACTATAATAATTATTAGAGACTAGGTGTGAGTCAGCTAGTTTTAGACTAGTATAATAACTATCAGAGACTAGGTAAGAGTCAGCTAGTTTCAGACCAGTATAATAACTATCAGAGACTAGGTAAGAGTCAGCTAGTTTCAGACTAGCATAATAACTATCAGAAACTAGGTGTGAGTCAGCTAGTTTTAGACTAGTATAATAACTATCAGAGATTAGGTAAGAGTCAGGTAGTTTCAGACTACTATAATAATTATTAGAGACTAGGCGTGAGTCAGCTAGTTTTAGACTAGTATAATAACTATCAGAGGGTAGGTAAGAGTCAGCTAGTTTCAGACTACTATCATAATTATCAGAGACTAGCTAAGAGTCAGTAAGTTCTAGACTAGTATAATTACTATCAGAGACTAGGTAAGAGTCAGCTAGTTTTATACTAGTATAAAAACTATCAGAGACTAGGTAAGAGTCAGTAAGTTTCAGACTAGTATAATAATTATTAGAGACTAGGTAAGAGTCAGCTAGTTTCAGACTAGCATAATATCAATCAGAGACTAGGTAAGAGTCAGCTAGTTTTATACTAGTATAATAACTATCAGAGACTAGGTAAGAGTCAGTAAGTTTCAGACTAGTATAATAACTATCAGAGACGAGGTAAGAGTCAGTTAGTTTCAGACTTGTATAATAACTATCAGAGGCAAGGTAAGAGTCAATAAGTTTCAGACTAGTATAATAATTATCAGAGGCTAGGTAAGAGTCGGTAAGTTTCAGACTAGTGCAATAATTATTAGAGGCTAGGTAAGAGTCAGTAAGTTTCAGACTAGTATAATAATTATTAGAGATTAGGTAAGAGTCAGCTAGCTTCAGACTAGTATAATAACTATCAGAGACTATATAAGAGTCAGTAAGTTTCAGACTAGTATAATAACTATCAGAGACTAGGTAAGAGTCAGCTAGTTTCAGACTAGTATAATAATTATTAGAAACTCAGTGTGAGTCAGCTAGTTTCAGACTAGTATAATAACTATCAGAGGCTAGGTAAGAGTCAGTAAGTTTCAGACTAGTATAATAACTATCAGAGGGTAGGTAAGAGTTAGTAAGTTTCAGAATAGTATAATAATTATTAGAGACTAGGTGTGAGTCAGTAAGTTTCAAACTAGTATAATAACTATCAGAGACTAGGTAAGAGTCAGTAAGTTTCAGACTAGTATAATAATTATTAGAGACTAGGTAAGAGTCAGTAAGTTTCAGACTAGTATAATAACTATCAGAGGGTAGGTAAGAGTTAGTAAGTTTCAGACTTGTATAATAACTATCAGAGACTAGGTAAGAGTCAGCTAGTTTCAGACTAGTATAATAATTATTAGAGATTAGGTTAGAGTCAGCTAGTTTCAGACTAGTATAATAACTATCAGAGACTAGGTAAGAGTCAGCTAGTTTCAGACTAGTATAATAATTATTAGAGACTAGGTAAGAGTCAGCAAGTTTCAGACTAGTATAATAACTATCAGAGACTTGGTAAGAGTCAGTAAGTTTCAGACTAGTATAATAATTATTAGAGACTAGGTAAGAGTCAGCAAGTTTCAGACTAGTATAATAACTATTAGAGACTTGGTAAGAGTCAGTAAGTTTCAAACTAGCATAATATCTATCAGAGACTAGGTAAGAGCCAGGTAGTTTCAGACTAGTATAATAATTATTAGAGACTAGGTAAGAGTGAGCAAGTTTCAGACTAGTATAATAATTATTAGAGACTAGGTAAGAGTCAGGTAGTTTCAGACCAGTATAATAACTATCAGAGACTAGGTAAGAGTCAGCTAGTTTCAGACTACTATAATAATTATTAGAGACTAGGTAAGAGTCAGGTAGTTTCAGACTATTATAATAATTATTAGAGACTAGGTAAGAGTTAGTAAGTTTCAGACTAGTATAATAATTATTAGAGACTAGGTAAGAGTCAGCTAGTTTCAGACTAGTATAATATCAATCAGAGACTAGGTAAGAGTCAGCTAGTTTCAGACTAGTATAATAATTATTAGAGACTAGGTAAGAGTTAGTAAGTTTCAGACTAGTATAATAACTATCAGAGACTTGGTAAGAGTCAGTAAGTTTCAGACTAGTATAATAATTATTAGAGACTAGGTAAGAGTTAGCAAGTTTCAGACTAGTATAATATCTATCAGATACTTGGTAAGAGTCAGTTAGTTTCAGACTAGTATAATAACTATCAGAGGCTAGGTAAGAGTTAGTAAGTTTCAGACTAGTATAATAATTATTAGAGAAGAGGTAAGAGTTAGCTAGTTTCAGACTAGTATAATAACTATCAGAGACTTGGTAAGAGTCAGTAAGTTTCAGACTAGTATAATAATTATTAGAGACTAGGTAAGAGTTAGTAAGTTTCAGACTAGTATAATAACTATCAGAGGCTAGGTAAGAGTCAGTACGTTTTAGACTAGCATGATAACTATCAGAGGCTAGGTAAGAGTTAGTAAGTTTCAGACTAGTATTATAATTATTAGAGACTAGGTAAGAGTCAGCAAGTTTCAGACTAGTATAATAACTATCAGAGACGAGGTAAGAGTCAGTTAGTTTCAGACTTGTATAATAATTATCAGAGACTAGGTAAGAGTCAGCTAGTTTAGACTAGTATAATAACTATCAGAGGCAAGGTAAGAGTCAATAAGTTTCAGACTAGTATAATAACTATCAGAGACTTGGTAAGAGTCAGTAAGTTTCAGACTAGTGCAATAATTATTAGAGGCTAAGTAAGAGTCAGTTAGTTTCAGACTAGTATAATAATTATTAGAGATTAGGTAAGAGTCAGCTAGCTTCAGACTAGTATAATAACTATCAGAGACTATGTAAGAGTCAGTAAGTTTCAGACTAGTATAATAACTATCAGAGACTAGGTAAGAGTCAGATAGTTTCAGACTAGTATAATAATTATTAGAGACTCAGTGTGAGTCAGCTAGTTTCAGACTAGTATAATAACTATCAGAGGCTAGGTAAGAGTCAGTAATTTCAGACTAGTATAATAACTATCAGAGGCTAGGTAAGAGTTAGTAAGTTTCAGACTAGTATAATAATTATTAGAGACTAGGTGTGAGTCAGCTAGTTTCAGACTAGTATAATAACTATCAGAGACTTGGTAAGAGTCAGCAAGTTTCAGACTAGTATAATAATTATTAGAGACTAGGTAAGAGTTAGTAAGTTTCAGACTAGTATAATAATTATTAGAGACTAGGTAAGAGTGAGCAGGTTTCAGACTAGTATAATAACTATCAGAGACTTGGTAAGAGTCAGTAAGTTTCAGATTAGTATAATAATTATTAGAGACTAGGTAAGAGTTAGTAAGTTTCAGACTAGTATAATAACTATCAGAGGCTAGGCAAGAGTCAGTACGTTTTAGACTAGCATGATAACTATCAGAGGCTAGGTAATAGTTAGTAAGTTTCAGACTAGTATAATAATTATTAGAGACTAGGTGTGAGTCAGTAAGTTTCAGACTAGTGCAATAATTATTAGAGGCTAGGTAAGAGTCAGTAAGTTTCAGACTAGTATAATAATTATTAGAGATTAGGTAAGAGCCAGCTAGCTTCAGACTAGTATAATAACTATCAGAGACTATGTAAGAGTCAGTAAGTTTCAGACTAGTATAATAACTATCAGAGACTAGGTAAGAGTTAGTAAATTTCAGACTAGTATAATAATTATTAGAGATTAGGTAAGAGCCAGCTAGCTTCAGACTAGTATAATAACTATCAGAAACTATGTAAGAGTCAGTTAGCTTCAGACTAGTATAATAACTATCAGAGACTATGTAAGAGTCTGTTAGTTTCAGACTAGTATAATAACTATCAGAGACTAGGTAAGAGTCAGCTAGTTTCAGACTAGTATAATAATCATTAGAGACTAAGTGTGAGTCAGCTAGTTTCAGACTAGTATAACAACTGTCAGAGGCTAGGTAAGAGTTAGTAAGTTTCAGACTAGTATAATAACTATCAGAGGCTAGGTAAGAGTCAGTACGTTTTAGACTAGCATGATGACTATCAGAGGCTAGGTAAGAGTTAGTAAGTTTCAGACTAGTATAATAATTATTAGAGACTAGGTGTGAGACAGCTAGTTTCAGACTAGTATAATAACTATCAGAGACTTGGTAAGAGTCAAACAACTATCAGAGGCTAGTTAATAACGCAGATAATTTCGCTCTCCCTGTCTCTGTATCTATCTCTGTCTCTTCTTATCTAACAAATATCCCACCACAGTCCTGTTCTAATGACGTTATTTAACCAATCAAAGCGAGTCATGTGGGACCCGTTTCTTAAAACAAATTGTGAGTTACCGAAACCCAAACTAGAGCTAGTTGACAACCTCCACAAATCTAATATTGTTTATATGGAAAATTTATCAATACCCTACCTTCAACAGCAATCTATAACCAGACCCTTCCAATTGTGGAAAACTGTTACATGTTACGTCGAAAATATCTTCATGAAAACTACACTGAACACCACCCTTTACTGGTTTGACAGTCAGAGCTCGACACCAGGAGTTTCTTCCACAGTCAAAATAACAATAAAAAACGTTCAGAGTATTCCACCGCTCTCTAATTCTACAAGAAGCGTAATGATTCTTACAAACTGTAAATTTATCTAAAACCGTTGAAGCTTGCCCTGTGAGTACACAGCGAACGAGAAAGACAATCAAAACTGAAACGAACAGATAGACCATGTTAACAGTTCTAGTCTTAGGAGTTCTGCTAATAGACTGATGGAAAGTACTCGTCATATTCCCTCCTACAGAATCATTGATTTAAAAAACAAACAAAACTGTATCCTTAAAGTTGTCTTTGCTGCTTATTTTTCGTGGTCAAATCGTGCTTATTATTTGATTAATTGATGTTTCTAATGAATAAATCAGGTATTCTTGAGCGCTAAGATAGTGTGATGATATAGAAAAGCATGTGGAATCAAATTAAAATCCGATTAAAAAATCTTAAAATAGATTCCTTGTTTACTCACTGACTAGACCGTGATAATCTAGCAACATTTTCGTATAAAATTCCCTATTTTGGAAACATAACCATTGAAATTTTAAATTGTTCGGTTGGCTGTTTTGGTAATGTTCGGCTGTGAAAATGCACACATAGAGTTACCTCCCTTTTGGAAATTGTGAGACCTGATTATCTTTATTGACCTCTCGATCATTGGAATCTCTTCGTAATTAGCAAATTACGAGTTAATCATTGACTTCTGACACAAACTGGTATTTTTCCTAATCATAAGAATACCTCTACTTTCGATTTATATAAGTATTAGCCGTCCAATACTGAAATATATATATATATACATAAAAATAAGGAAACCTAGCTTTAATTATTCACGATTGTAAGCAATGATATTAAGGGCCGTATGCTGCGGTCGAACTTTAGTCATACTTTAATCAAAGTCGAGCTTTGACTTTAGGTATGCTGCGCTCGATCTTTGATGTAAGTCATGCTTTACTCGAGCGTTTTGTGGACAAAACTAAAGTAAAGTCTAAGATAGGGTGGTAGCAGACTTTAGCCGTACTTTATATACGTTTGCGATTAAAATTGTGACAATGGAAGATTATTTCAACCAATTACACCATAGATATTATAGATATTTACCATATGGAGAGGAGATTTAAAGACCGCTCAAATCCAATGGAAGATCTAGACGAGAGTGAATTTACGAAACGCTTCAGATTTCCAAAGGATGGCGTTCTGCATATTTTTGAAATGATTTCAATCATCGATGTGACCAAACTGTACATATCCCACCATTACTACAGTTATTGGTATGTCTTCGTTGGTATGCTAGTGGCTCTTTCCAAATAAACGTGGGGGATTTAATGGGCGTTCATCAATCCAGTGTCTCCCGAATAGTGAAATTGGTATCAAGGGCTATAGCTATTTATAGGCCCGAGGTTATTACGTTTCCAGATGAAAATGAAATAAAAACAATACAAAGAGGTTTTTACGACATTACGCAGTTTTCGGGGATTATTGGAACAATTGGCTGTACACATGGAACCCGTGATGATTTCTGTATTCTGTATTTATATCTGGACACAACGTTCCACTGGTAACAGTGGCTGATGCTGATGTGGATCGCGTAAATACGGGAGAACCTGTGTTGAATATAGAAATGAAAATTAAATTAGCTACGTAAAATATAATCATATATTTATGAAAAATTCAGTACCAATGCAAAATGGGTTGTTTAAAGTAAGGTGCTACGTAACAGTTCGAATCATTCATATGCAACTCATTTCGAAACGTGGAATCAGTCTCGTAATTTATCTTCTTTCGAAATTTCCATAGCACTTGTCAAAATCGAAGTGACATATTAATATCTACTTTTTATTGAAATTGGATTTGCGAATTTGAGAAGTTCAAATTATGTATAATCAGAGGACTGTATCCCTTTAACTAACCTGACGTCGGTTGAGCCAAAGTGAAGCTATCTTGCTTGTGATCTTGTTTAAAGAAAGTGGGCATGGAACAAAAATTTGCCTCTATTTCTCTCCACGCCTTTTCCTTCCTTTGTATGGTCCGAATATCATTTCGTTTCGACTCCAATACACCCTTAAACTCATCCACTACATCGATAAGGAATTTCTGTTCAATTACAGTAAGTTGGGGTGTCTTCTTGGTTTTTCTGAGGCGACGACATATTATCTGACATTTTAAATAATCAATCAAATTATAACTTGTAATGACCCTGATGCGTATTTAAAGTAAAGACCCCACGGAAAAGTACATGAGAAACATGCCAAATACTTGCAGTCCGTAAGTGTCCGATCAAAATTTTAGTTAAAATATGTATCAATCACTTTTTCTATTAATAAATATTAGAAATTAAATTATAATTCTTTGAGTTATCGTTGGTGTTCCAACTACACAGAGGAAGTTAAACTTAGCAAAGATAAGTTTAAGTTGAAGCCATGCATACCAAAATGAATTAGTTACAAAGTCGAGCTCAGGCGAAACTTTACAAAGTCTGACTTTACCCGAAGGCCCTTAATCTTTTTCTTTATTATCAAGCTTTGTGAAACTCCATCAGTTAATATTGTGTTGTCTAAAGCCTTCAAATTCAAAAATGAATTGATTAATTATAGATGTACATTATTTGCTTACAGTGTATGTTATAGATTATGTGCTATAGAATTCTGAATCTCAAGACTGCTGTGTCTCTTTTGGAACAATTCCCGGTTAGAGTTAGGTAGGTTCGAGTTAGGTACGTTGGGTTAGTGAATGGTTAGAGTTTGGTAGGTTAGGGTTAGGTACGTTAGAGTTAGGTAGGTTAGAGTTAGGTACGTTGGGTTAGTGTATGGTTAGAGTTTGGTAGGTTAGGGTTAGGTAGGTTAGAGTTAGGTCGGTTAGAGTTAGGTAGGTTAGAGTTAGGTACGTTGGGTTAGTGTATGGTTAGAGTTTGGTAGGTTAGGGTTAGGTACGTTAGAGTTAGGTACGTTGGGTTAGTGTATGGTTAGAGTTTGGTAGGTTAGAGTTAGGTACGTTGGGTTAGTGTATGGTTAGAGTTTGGTAGGTTAGAGTTAGGTAGGTTAGAGTTAGGTACGTTGGGTTAGTGTATGGTTAGAGTTTGGTAGGTTAGGGTTAGTTTTGTCATGAATTGATTGCGGCCTTGATTTGACCAATAATTTCACCTTTTGGTCCCATCGTATGATCGATTTGTCTCTTAATTGGTGCTCTTTTTTAGCAACGTGGACGCACTTGCTATTTCATGGGGCGGATGATATCATAGGCGTAAAGGGGGGTAGACTTTTATATAACCTTAGTTATATATGTTTGGGTAATGGAGTAAAATTAAGAAGGTAAGTTCAGTCTCTACAACGGCTTACATACGACATACTTCACTTTTTATTTTAAATTAAAGACTTTAATTTTCACCTGTGAATTAAAAACTAGGTGAAAATTAAAGTTTGTAATTAAAAATCACAGTAATTATCACTTAACTTTCATCTATGTGAAAATAGTTATCACCAAGGTGGATTATTAAAGTTTTTAATTCAAAATAAAATGTAAAATATGTGAGCTACCGTAAGTCTCATTGAATTTATACCAAACTTTCGTTCCGTTTTTTATTAGCTTTTATTTGTAATATAGCCACCTAACTGAAGTAAAGGCTAATTAAATTTAATTAGACCAAACGTTTTTATGCGAATTCTATTGTCGTATCGGCCTAGGTATGTATGTTGAGTTTTGTCTAGTGTATTATGAAAGATGTAAAACAATGGAAAACAGCTCGAGGCTTTCAAAAAAAAAGGACCGCTACACCCATTGATAATAAAAAAAAGGAAACTAAAATTTTAGAAGGTTTTTTTATTATAGTTGATGAAAAACGAGATAGTGTATATAAACAATATGATTAAAAAGCTGGTCTGGTAGTTTTGTTTTATTTATTTTTTCTGCAGGATACTACACGACCCAATGATCTGACGATTTTCTTCCTTAAAGCCAGTTTTTCTCAATTTTGAAAAAAAGTATTCAAAAGGTGTCATAATGTACTCTAACCAATCACAAAAAATGAAATGAATCGAATTTTATGTTCTTCTCTACTGCACCTAATTGGGCAAATGCAGATGGGCAACGCCATGCAGTGTTCCATGAGGAAATTTTGCTAACCGATCAAGACTAGGGTAAGGTGGGGCAAAGCGCACTTCTTAAGGGAAACATGGACTTACGCGTTCATGAATAGGGAAGTGTATGAGTATCTAAGCATTCCCCAATAAGTCTTTTATTGAGCACTGTATTTGATTGGTTGCATATTTAATGACCATGAACACGAGACACATAAGAATGTCGTCAGATCATGGATGTCAAGTGGAATTGTCCGAAGAAGAAAAACCACGAAACAAAGAAGCTTTTGTATTTAATCAGATTTTATTACAACAGAGATAAGTGCATAATATCAACAACAATATTGTATAATTGTTACAAACTAAAAATACAACTAAAAGGGGTTGTAACGATATTTTCTAAACAATTTATGTGGATCGGGGACAATGATAATGTCAATCTGCACTATTCCAATTTTCAATCAGACTTCTGTGGTTCCTGCAATTCAACCAAAAATAAGTGTTTGATGACTTCACTAATCGCAATACATGTATAATATCAAATAAGGCCCTTCGCAATTAGTGACGTGGAATTGCAGGAACCACAGACATCTGATTGTAATTGGAATGTAAATTGATGCTATTAATGTCCCCGATACACATAATATTTTTTTAGAAATCCTCTTTACAATCGCTATATAGTAGAAATTTGAATCTGTGATGTAATATTCATATATCGTTCTCTATACATTAAATGTCATAGCCAGATTATCACCGAGCTTGGTTAAGAGTAACATAGGAATACCTGATACCACTGTGCCATTTCTTTTGTGAAGTCAATATTTTTACCACTGAATTTACATAACTATTCTTTTCTATAATCTTTGTAAAACATATAGAAGTAGGAAGGTAAACAATAAGAACACAAGATATATGGATATACTACTTGTAGGTTTATTACATACTACGTTTAGAAACACATACAGGTAACTTTTATCAAGTAAACGTAGTGTATACGTAATAAACCTAGAAGTAGTATATCCATATATCTTGTGTTGTTTTCTATTCTAGATTTTGTTGTCACTTGAAGTGATATAACCGTCTTACTTTAGCTTGATGATAAAATCAGATTTGAGCTACAAATTACGCTTGTCAGAACACAAATTCGACGACAGGTTTGTATGCAATCTAACCAGGTTGCTGTAATTGAAGTAAGTGAAGTCGATTTATATCAATATTCAGATATCCCTCGCTTACTGATTACATTTTAATTGTAGACGAATGAAACTTTGCTCCATTGGTAAATGAAACCGATTGGAATGATAGTGACCTGACGGTAATGTACATTTAAATGGTATTTATTTAGTTCATAAACGCCCCCCACATCATCATATTACCTAACCCTCCCATTCCCCCGAGACCACCCATGCCCCCCATCCCGCGACCCATACCACCAAAAGCTGCCATAAAGGGCATCATTTCAAAAAAGCTGTCTCCCATTAGACTCATTCCCAGCAATCCTGCCCCACCCATAAAGTTGTTCCCGTAACCGACCTGACGGGAACCACCTAAGCCCCTTAATCGAGCAATAACCATTTGATCTTGCAGTCCAAGTCCAGAAGTACTTGGGGTCCCAGGTGCGGTATAGACTAAGGGTCTGGTAGGCTTGCTTGTCCCCAGTGGTTGTGATGGAACAGTCGATCCCGTATTTCCCGTAGTCATAGGTTGAAATGCTGGATTTGGGACGACATTGTTCATTGTTGGTACCCCAGTGTTCATTGTTGGTACTCCGGTATTCATTGTTGGTACTCCGGTATTCATAGTCGGCAAACCAGTGTTCATAGTTGGGAATCCAGTGTTCATAGTTGGAACTCCAGTGTTCATAGTTGGGGCTCCGGTGTTTATAGTTGGCATTGCATTGTACATAGTTGGTACTCCAGTGTTCATAGTTGGTACTCCATTGTTCATAGTTGGTACTCCATTGTTCATCGTTGGTACGCCAGTGTTCATAGTTGGCACTCCAGTGTTCATAGTCGGCACACCAGAGTTCATTGTTGGTACTCCGGTATTCATTGTTGGTACTCCAGTGTTCATAGTTGGAACTCCAGTGTTCATAGTTGGAACTCCAGTGTTCATAGTTGGAATTCCTGTGTTCATTGTTGGTAGTCCTGTGTTTCCAGTCATGCCCATCGTATTAGTTGGTTGAGCAGTATTTCCAGAAAGATTGGACATGCCTGTATTTGGATTCATTCCTGTGTTTGTCATCGGCACTCCAGTATTGCCTGTCAGTAGTGGATTCGAATACTGTGGATCCAGAATCCCAGATGGATCACCTCTGGTCAAACCTGGATCAGTGGGTTGTGGCCCCAGATTTGCTAATACAACATTTCCCGAAGAATCTCTGACCGGTTGAGCAAGAGGTCCAGTGTTTGTGTTGGTTCCTGGTAGACCTATTGGTGTTAAATCGAAATTTGGTAGACCGGCATTTCCAGTCGTTACAGATCCTGAAATAAATTAGATAAAGATTATACATCTACTCCAACCATATATCAAATGATCTGTATCCCAGCCTCCTAGCTATTTCGAAAGTTGCACGATAACTGTCAAAATAGCTATCAAAGGCTGGGATCAGGCCATATCTTGCGGATTAACATCCACGTAGACCAGGTTATAGTCAACCATTGAAAACGCATTCAAAATTGACACATTGTCAAAATCCGTGATCAATGACGAATTGTTGCCGGTTGCAATAATTATGTGATTAATTTAATCTAGAGTTTTATTGTTTACCTTGTGACGTCACTAATCCGAAAACCACCGAAAGCAGGCAAATTTCTTTATACGCCATCTGAAATATCAATTAAATTCAATAATTTCCATGAATTATCTTACAATGATATATCATATACAGTAAAACTTTATTAAGCAAGTGGTTATAGGGAAATGCCTTGAATTGGCTGCATATGAAGGACCAAGCTATACGGTGAAATTTTAAAGCCCGTTGCTAAAGGGGAGCCGGGGCCGGAAAAAAAGGACCCCCCCCCCCCCCCCCAAACACTATTGCCCCTCCGCATATATATTACATGCCCCTCCGGATAGCCCCTCCGGGCATATTACTTGCCCCTCCGGACATATTACTTGCCCCTCCCCGAACAATCAATTATTGTTATTTTACCCCGTACCTGACACTTCTTTAAAATAAACAAATAGTACAGTTTAAAAAAAGACTATACATTATGGTATGATATATCATCGGGTCCGTATGCCGTAATATACACACTAGTCTGGTTCTTGGGTCCGTTGTTCTTTATTAATCGTAAATTCGATATAAGAAATAAAGTAAAGTCAAGGTATTGTCAGGCTACCTTATACGGACCAAGTTCAAATAGTTTGTCTTCTGAAGATTTTCTCACCGTTTATTTGAATCGTTTGATGTTTGATTTCTTGTTTTTAAATCTAATAACTTTTTATAGGATTTTACAGAGACCCTTAGGCGCAATTTTCCATACTTTTGTAAAATATTTAAACGAAATAATTAATTTGTCTAAACGAAATGATATCATATAATACGTTTAAACGAAAAGTTTTTTTTAATCGTTTGATTTAAACGAAATAATTATATCGTTTAATCGAATAACTTATTTCGTTTAAACGAAATATGTGACGTTATTTCGTTTAAACGAATTAGTTATTTTGTCATAGCGAAATAACTAATTCGTTAAAACGAAATATTTTATAAAAGTACGGAAAATTGCGCCTAAGGTGCTCCGTAGGATTTATATTTATTTATTCAATTTATTTTTGTAGGATAGATAACATGTGTATCAAAATATCTACTTTCAAATCTGTACAAGTTTTCATAGAGTTTGATATCTCAGAGATTATTTTTAAATAAACTATTTAAATAGATCTAGTAGCGTTTATCAAAATATTAAATGTTTCATTATAATTTATATTTTGTTTATCTAAGTTTTAAAGGCTATTATAATTAGAATCTCTATCAGGTATATATTTTTAATCGGGTTCGCCGAGTTCGTTGGTGAAGTATCGAAGAAGAGGCCAGCACTATTAGCACTTTCTTATTATATCCCATTTATTTAACAAGTTTCACTGCAGAAACATTAGAGAACATCTTCTCCCCCTTTTTCTTTTTTTTTCTCTTTCCCCCTCTTTTCTCACAATCTGTTTTTTTCATGTCTTCTAGTGTTTCAACAGTTATCAAATAATCTAACCAAACCAAACCAACGACTACCATTCGACTACCAATCAACAAGAATTATCAAGAACGAGTTTGGAAGAATGAAGGAGTAACTCACGCCACACCATCCATGGCCGAGTTACACCGCCATGTCATTCGATCCGACCAGATCTAACGAAGTATCAACAACCAAACCAACAACACAGAATCATCCAATTTGAACCAATCCAACTACAAATTACTACGACTACCAACAACTACCTAGTTTGTGATATCAGCATCCGCTGGAAGCGAACGTTAACTTATCATCTACCAACCAACCATCGATAACAGCACTATGATGATGATCGACCATAACGTACGGTCCCTACACATGGCCGTGATGTCAAATTGCTAAACGACAACCATCCTGGAACTGAAAGGGCTACCTCAAACACAGATACTATCTGAAATAGTCTCCATCTCGGGGATGATGCCAAATGCTCTTCCACTGTAAAGAAATTCAAGATGGCAGAGAGAGCCTTGACGATGGCTCACGTCTAGGAAGGTCTTCAACAGTAACCAGTCCAAAAAACGTTACACGGATGCATGAATGCTGTTGGATTTATTAACCCGGTTCCTCCCATGGTTTTAGGTCTAAGCACTTGACAAGCGTATTGTCGTGCTGCGTAAATAAATAAACTGATGAAGGAAATAAGAAATCTATATTTTTAAGATATGGTTATTTACTGTACTAATTAACTAATTAAAAAAAAAAAGAAGCGGAATCGCTTCATTTGGCATCATTGTGTTACGTTATTAGCAACTTTTATAGACAATACTAACATTAATTATATATTCCAGGAAATAAGCATAATATATCAGCTTTAATATATATAGGGGAATTTCAGAGAAATAATCGAAGTGTTCGGTTTCTGATAGCAAGTCTCACTGTTTGTTCAGCTTTGTTTATGAATTATACCATGACAATAATAAAATCTCAGGTGTCTAAATCAGATTATAGAATCGAGTATTTAATTCCAAATGTTGTATGCTTTATTGCTCTTTTATATACCAAAATACCAAATATCATTCATGTAGACCTGAGATTATATAAAAATATTGGAGACTAATGGTCTTGTGAAAAAGGATGTCTTACAAACTGTCATGTTTTTTCAACTTGTGTTTTATCAAAATTTTCCCGGACAATGTTTCACCACAATGCACATTATTAGGAAAGTCATTCTCCTACTTCAAAAACCCCGAAGCATTCAAGATTTCCATTACAATGGCCACTACTAGTTCAAACTACCATTGCTGGTGTTAAAATGTTCAAAGTCCATGTTTAACTTGGCTGACTTTCAAAGATCCCAAATTCAACAAATCATTGTATAGTGAGTAAATCTCGTATCAAACAAAGTTTTTGATTGGTTGAATATTGTATAACCTTGAACATGACATGTATGACAATTTTGTAAGATCATGGATTGAAAATGGATTTCCCTATATAAAACTTCCAGGTCTGCATTCCAATTGTATTGAGAAACAATATGCCAGGTTAGTATGGACGGGGAAAACGGTCGTAAGTACAGTCAATGAACATTTGTCTAAGTAGCAGTAGTATTCTCGTTTTTCAGTTTCGACTATCTTAAAAACCTTCACAACAGAGCATAGGGTTTTAAATAACCTAAATATGAATCCTGTATAACCTCAATAACCAAATTAATAAGAAAAAAGGCCTTACCTGTAATTAAGACGTGAAGTAAGCCAGGTGGAAATAATGTAAATTGAATGATTAGAAATATCATAGTTTATATACCTACCATTTGACTGCTTAAACCGACTAATGGCCCTGTCTTAAATTGACGTTGATGAACATCCGTCCCATTGTCTGTCCTTTTAACTCCCCGTTCGACATAGTTTTTAGGGTTATGACTTCTGTAAGAATGTTTATGAAGACTGATATGAGACGTAAATTAAAAGGAATTTCATGTTTTTCACCTGGTTTTTGTAAATTATAAATTCTGATTTTTGTCATCGGTAATCCACGTCACAGAGTTGAAAGAATCATGAATACCACTATGACGTGTCTTCTTAAAGGGATTTTAAAAGGTTTTCTAAGCTATTGATGTGCATCAGGACCTCCGTCTGTGGTTTGTGTAATTCCCACTACCGCAAATACTGCTAATAATAAGTAAAAGCATTTTGAAAAGACAAGATATTAGTTTTAGTGGAATTAAAAAAAAACATAGATGTCTGGCTGAAAATAGGAATGGTGCTAATCGATGCTACAGGTGTCTCCAATAAACATACAAGATTAGAAAACCCCTTAACAATCTCTTTAACGGGCGTACAAATAAAACTTTGCGCTTTTATTACATCAAGTGAACAGGTGCATATCATCAGTGCCAATCATCTATCTGAATAAATTTTACACATTCGAAATATGTATTTTGATCAGATTTGTAGTCTAACTCTCTATGACTCTCTTCTAGGGTTGGGCTTGCTATGGTTTGTCGTGCCCACTCTTACATTAATGAAGAAGGTGAGGAATAAGCTACTCCTGATCTAAGCTAATGGAAAAGTTTATATCAAGTCGTGGAATATCTCTCAAATTATTTAGTATAAACATATTATTGCGTTACATTAAATTCTGACCAACTCTGTAAAGCCTGTCGTGCAGTAGGACGTAAAACTCCATTCATTTCATTTCATTTGTAAAGCCTGTCACATTTCACAAAATGGACAAATTATAGTAGCAACGACTTGGCTCTTTATATGTCCATGTGAAATGTGGGCGTAAGATTCTGTACATCTTGTCACCTTTGACCCTTAAGTGATTATTATAAACAAATGACAGTCTACCGTCCGTGACCGCGTATTGTTCATAGTTTTCCTTAGTCAGAGTATTTTTTTTTTTATCAAAATCACAATCTATCTTTAAAATTGTGAATATTTAACCACAAGGGTTTAAAAATATTTTGGTGACAAATCGTGACTTATTGTGATAGCAAATCGTGATTTATTGTGATGAGATGGCAAATTTGGTTGTTCTTTTTAGACAAGAAGGCGAATTGAAGCTCTTCGTGACTTATTGTGGTGGCAGTTGTGACTATCTGCGATAGCAAATCTAGAGTAAGTGTAATAACAAATCGTGACTTTAATGTGAAGGCAAATCGTGACTAATTGTGAAAGCAAATCGAGTCTGTTGTGAATTTTTATGCTATGGCAAATTGGGATAAGATGGCAAATTCAATTGTTTTTTTAAACCAGAAGGCGAATTGAAACTCTTTCTGTGGCATATCGTGACCCATTACGATTTTTGTGACCTATTGTGACGGCAACTCAAGGCCTATTGTAATGGCAAATCGCTACCTATTGTGATGGCAAATCGTCCCGTTGTGACTTTTTATGGTGGCAATACGAGACCTGGCTGTGATGTCGAATCGAAAATTTTTGTGATGGAAATTCGTGACCTATTGTGGTGGCAAATCGTGACCTATTGTGGTGGCAAATCGTGACTTTTTGTAATGGCAGGTCGAGACGTAAACACACCGTTTTTCATAAATTCTTACGATGAAAATTCGTGGGTATGGAATTCAAACTCGATCTTATTACTCGTAAGAGGGTCCTGCCTACACTCCTGGTACATATTTTATTACACCAGCTTATTGCATTCAACAAGAATGTTTTGCTCATATAAGGTCATACAGGTGAAAGTATGTTCCCTAATCCATTTCTTGTGAATAAAATATATGTTTCTAAGGCATGAAAGGATCGTCGTGTTTCCGACAATATCGGATGGATCTACCAATCGACCGACTGGCCGACCATCCAACCGAACGGGACAACGGCAGTGTACGTCCACACTTGTGTTGTGAAAGAAAAGTTTTGCAGAGGTTAACAGATTTAATACTATTGATATTGCGAAAAAACAAATATGAATAAAAAATTACAATCATATAAAAAAAAACATAAAACTTGTTCTGATTATATCAAATAAACATAAAAGTGTTTAAAAGTCATGGAAAATATCAATAATTTGACATGAATAAGGCAAGGTTAAACACGAGCTATGGCCCTTAGACAAATAAGTGCAATTCAGAATTATGTGAGTATTTCAGAATATTTCAAACATAAACTAAATTTAGAACGCGACAGTTCATTTTAGTTCAACAGGAAGACCTATGTTCCTTATGCAACGTTACAAGTGGTGGAGCCAAAGGGGGGTAGGGTTCAGAGGGGTGGCCGCCCCTTCTCGCAGCCCTTAAAGCCGCGGGCAATCGCAGATATCCCTACCCCTCTAGGAAGTAAGCCCTGGCTTATAATGTGAATAATCGTGGTGCCGGTGTTTAAGGAAAATGGCAAGACCTAGGCTATAAGATAATGTGTCTCCATTGAGCATAACCCGATACTTCTATACCGCTGTCTGGCAATAGTTCGCAAGTTTCGGACTAAATTGAACGTACTATACAACTTTTCAGTATAATTTAAATTAGACCTTACTTCCGTTTGTATTTTATTAGTTTATTAGTATTGACCTCTGTTTTAACTAATCACGTGGCTGCCCTTCCAGCGACGGGATAATGTGATATGTGCATTCCGAAATGTATTAGACTAGTGCACTTAATAAGCTTGTCTAATATTCCTCGGAGGTCAAGCAAAGGTTAACAGAATGAAGTCAAGAGGGACAGTGTTAGACCTTACTGTAGTGGTTACGTACAAAGCTAATAAAACATTCGAAACGAAACTAATAAAATACAAACGGAAGTTTTTTTAATTAGACTGACAACTTTCACTCTGGATTTTGCCATTTTTGGACGAGATTTTTGATTAACGGTATTGTTTCACTTGCTTGTACATATTGAATAGTCATCTATACGCTATTATTGAACACTTCTAACATGGTGTGTTCCTCACAACCAGATAGATAGAGAAGACGTGTTCACATTATCAGAGCCAGTCTGACTGGTATATTTATCTGACTTGCAACCTTGGCAATGTAGGAAGGCGTAGCTGTACAACCCTCTGACTTTATTCTCACCACCTATAGCCACCACTGCACCTCCGCTAGAACCACCACAGGTCCCTGCGGAGTGATGCAGCACAACACCCATATCTTCCTTGTTTTCCAATTCGATCTTTCTACCGATGGTCACCATTTTTGGACCGCCATGGGGATGAGCTATGACTACAGGATAGGTCTTCCCTTCCACACTCTCCCAAAAATGTTCCTCCTTCGTCATTTCGTCTCGGATCATATCAGGAACTTCGTCAAACTCCAGAAAAGTCATTTCCTCGTTCGATTCAAAAACTCCAGAAAAAGTTGCATATATCTTATCACGTTCGTCAAATTCTCTGAAATATGCGGTAGCTTGTTTGGCAAGATCGTCCGTCCAGGAGATTTCAGGCTTGTTCCGTACAACGACGCACGTTTTGTCTTTATGGACGCAAGTTAATCCTCGACATTCAATTTCTACTCCGTCAACGTTTACCTTAATGATCCCTCGACAACGTCCGGAGTCGGGCATGTAGAAATGGTCGAATCCTTTCGGCACCGGATCAAAAGTGATCATAGACTTGTCCATACCAGAGAAAGTGTACACAAGAGATGTCCCTTTAGAGTATTGTATGTCTGGACAATTTTTATAATCATAATAGAAATCAATGACTGTATTTTTGGCCTGGAAGTCCGTCTCTACCACGTGGTTGTTGGTGTAAATGTAGAGAACGCCGCGATATTTCCACACGACACCGGACCCAAAACGTTTGCTTCCGTCTTCGCACGTTACGGTCAGTCGGACCACACTATCTCCAACATTTTTCAGATACCGATACAGCTTCTCTGATCTGTACCTTGGTGGAAGATGATGCATTTTGAATTCATTGTATGGCAGGAACTTCTTGTGTCCTGGGTTTTTGGGACAGTTTATTATGTCGTCCAGCATAGGAAAAGCTTCTGTAGCTATCTCTTCCTCGAGTTGAGGTTCGTTTGATGGTGCTTGGTCCGCCATTTTGATCTTCTGAAATGAAAGAAATGTGTGCAAGTCAATTCACGAATGGGAGCGTAAAGGAAAATAACTGTCATCATCTTATTACGAAATCCTTTGGACTATGCATAGAAGTCGCAGAACATCTTTACTTATTTGGAATTAATATCTTGTAGACTATAGTACTTTAAGTGTAGATATAGTGGAAATTTCAAACTAGTCAGAACATTCCAGTGAGTACACCATCTAACCTAGACCCTAAACACAAACCCTTAATAGAATCTGAAACAAACTCCCTGTGGTTATATATCAAAATGAAACCCAAAATCCAAAACAATATATTGGCAAATGATTGCAGTTATAATGAAATTTTGATATGAGGCAATAGATGACTTCTTAAAAAAGAGGGTAAAAAATTCCACAAAACGAAACCCAAAATCCATACCAACATAATATTGGCAATAGATTGCTAGCAGTTATAATGAAATTTTGATATAAGGCAGTATAAGACTTACTAACAAAGAGGAATCAATATCCACACTTATTGCAGGCAGGAAATAGAATCGAGGCTTAATAGTTATAAATACGTGTATAACACTGAGTATATCAACTATTATGTTTATAACGTTTGATATATCACTGTATAAACCTACTTTATGAATTATATAATGAGTTGGTTATTTAGTTGTCTGTTTGATAGCCGAAGTAATTAAGTATATTTAATTAAATAAAGTGCAACAACAACAATGAACTAGTTGAACTCAATGTCACAACAGTCATAGAACAGATATTTTATAATAACTGGCTGGAAACTCCAACATTCATAATTTGACATTAGGTAACAACACTCGACACTCGACTCAGATTTTGTATAATCAATGGATCCCAGCCCTTCTTCTGTCTTGTAACTGTTCAAATAATGAGGTTTAATTTTATCTTTATTAGTAGATATTAGGGTAGACCAGGGCTAGTTGTATCACGTGTAAGATGTTATATACAAGCCTAATAATTCCTAACACACAAACTCTACAGTTCTATCATAGATGATGGTGTAGCTATTAACATATCCTAAGAAGGTGGACTCGTGCCATGTATTATTCAATGAAAAATATTTGACATTATGGTCAAGAAAGCTCTATATCTTTAAATAAACTCCAAATAACATAAAATATACCTGTTCATTCAACCAAAACACGTTAATATTTACACTGTCTACCCTCTATATCTCCAGAAATTAGTCATAACTTATACAGGACAAAATGACGTGTAGGACATTTATCAAAAACAACTGTGTCTAAAAATAAACTTCTTACATGTCTACCCTAGATTGATAATTACCTGACAGAGAATATCAGACTGGCTCTATTTTGAAACTGTTTCATTAAAATTTGGAACAGATTTAAATTATAATACGGGATAAAATGACGTGTTGGACCTTATATCTAAAAATTAATTCATATATACCCCATCGTAATATTACATTATATCTATATATTATACCTGAAACAAACAATCATTAATCTCGCTTTATTTTAAAACTGATTCCAAATAGGAACTGATTTTAATTATAATACGGGACAAAATGACGTGTTGGACTTTTTCAAAAAGAACTATATATCGAAAAATAAATCCATATACCCCTTCGTAATATTCTATATACCTGAACCAAAGAATCATAAATCTCGCTTTAATCATAATACAGAGCAATATGACATGAATCTAGAGTTTATATTTATTTATCTATAGTCTGCCTATAAGAATTAAATAGTCTGTTCACCAAGTAAACAGCTCATAAACTGATTAATAATTCTTACTATACATATACTACATATATTCTTCTCTCAAGACCATATATCATTCGTTACTTTTTAAAATTCTGATAATAAAAGTTTAACTATCATACCCAGAACAAAATGACGTGTATTTATTTACTTTCTACATTGGTCAATATATGAATATAAACTTTACTAACCTTGATATCGAACTGTCTCCAACTAAATATATAATGATATTTCTATAGTAGCCTAGCTTCAAATATAGCTTATCACTTCTGTCGAACTTTGTTGAGTGACCAATGCTAAATTCCCCCTATTTCATCAGATTTTAAATCCCAAATTTCTATCTGCTGAACAATAGTTTCTAGCATATACAATTTATACAAGACAATCCCGGATATATAGTCGAGGTTAACAGTAATATTGGCTATATTTAGTAGAAATATGTAGGTGGAAATTTCTTACAGTTCATGGAGAACGATAAATGATGTCAACTGTGACGAATTAATTATTTATAAAACCTCAGATTCCATTATGATTACGATATGCTATGAATTCAACTGGTTTTGTCTGACTACAATGAGATCAAAATTGAACTTTTCTGTCATTTCACAAATATTCAAAATGCGATTTGTTTCAATACCAGCCATTTGTCTCTGAATGTCTTACATAGAAATTTAACTTCCATAGGAACTGGTTGAACCAATTTCAAGGGCGTGCCCCCAGCCGCAGAAATAAAAATACAACATTACAAAATGATGTAGGCCTACTAGGGCAAGTATCTAAAAGGAAAATCTTTAAATCTTCCATTAACAGGCATTAAATTGACTTACAGAGGGGTCTCAGAATGCAGGAGAGTTTACTGTTTAAAATTAAATTTACCGAGGGATGGGGCCCCACTTAAAACTCGATCTCATTAGAGACACTTTTCAGACGCTCTTTGATTGATATAGCAGTTAAAGGGAGGTAACAACGTTTAATGTTCAAGGGACATAACTCGTCGTGAAGGTGAAGGTTATTTAGATAATTCGGGAAAACCGAGAAAAAACTACGACAACATTTTGAAGAAATAGAACAATCAAATGTGTAAATAATGGCGTTTGAAGAATATTTTAAGAATTTTAATCTTTTGGGAATAATTTTAATCTCATTGGCTTCTCAGGTGAGTCGAATATTTAGCTTTATTTATGTGGAATCGGTTGCCCTACTTCGTGACATTTTTTATTTACTGCAAGCAGGAGGAGTTGAATGAGTAGGCATTGGCATTCCATTTCATAATCAGGCATTCTTTGATTCCACTATATAAATCCTCAGACAATCAGAAAATGTCAAAATTTTGTCCAATGGCCTCACAACATTCAAGCGACAAAGAGCCTATAAATTCCATCTATACTTTTTTCAGTACCGGTATTAAATGATGTAATTTTGAAAAGGGGGTCAAGTCGATCTAAATGACTATGTATTATAGGTCCTAAAGAATTTTATATTATTTTTTATAATTATGATATAAGTGCCTGTGTATAAAACCATGCACTGTTGATGTTTCAAATCGATAGATGTATGGGAAGGGGAGGGGGGCAAAACAGCAACAGTGCCACTCATGCTAGATCTAGAACTTACTGTAGCTCTAGGCCTATATCATATAAAATATTCAATGTGCTACTTATGTCCACGAATATTTGTTATATCATTTTACTTTATGATAGAATAAACATTGAACCTCTTGAACCATTTATAACATTTTAAAATTTTATCGATATCATTTTTGTAGACAGTTATAATTTGATAATTTTGTTTAACAGATGTTTCTTTTATCAGTGTATTTATAAGCATAAACTTACAAAATCAAATCAAGGCATGAAATTGCAGTTCGATTCAGTCAGTACATTCTTTATTTTCATCATAAGTTCTAATATATTTTTATCACTACTGGTATTGGTACTCCCCCCCCCCCCCCACCTCCCCCACCCTCACATATTACTGTATTTCTATAAATCATGAGGTTGAGGGTCAACTGAAGACCATAGAGGGGCTCAGAGCGCCTGGTATTTTCATCTGTACTCATTAAAGGGACAGGTGCTCCATTTTTTTGACGAAGCGCACTTTAGTCTCAGAAAAGGAATTTTTAGCAGTATAGTAGTGTCTACAGCTTACCGTCGAAATAGTTGAATAGTGAGTACAATTCCTAGGTTGAGGTAGTTTTGAAGGAATTATGTGATTTTTGTACTTTCTAGTACTTCTGAAGACTATTTACATCTATTCAAGACTAAAATCAACCCCCAATCAATTCCTTTAATAAGCAATTTGAAAGTGGAAAGAGGAGTGGGAGATGGAAACTGGCTCAGCCTCAATTCTGGCCACTGCTGACCCCCTGTGAAAACACCTCTAATCAACCACTAATTTGTTTATCAAATTGTATGAATTTGTGTTCATATGATTAAATGTGTTAAAAACCTTCTTTTTGTATCATGTGGAAAGTCGTGTCCTATTTTTGTAACAGTAGATGAGAAATTACGTAAAAAATATTTATTGTTAGTCGTGTAGGGTGTGGTCGGCTATTGTCAAATTAATGACATTAATTAGACACTAACGACATATTATTAATTAATATTTTGTTATTGTATAAGGTAAAAGATGGCCTTGTATTCACCGGTAAGAATTGTTCACATTAAATTACATTTTACATATAGATTGATAACTAAAGTAAGATATTGTTAAATTTTAAAAAAAAAAAAAATTGGTTAAGTATTGGCTAAGGCTATGGGTAGAAGAAAAACTTCATTTAGAAATGGTGAGAGAAGCTTGCAGGTTGTATCAAGATATTGTTAAATTTAAAAAAAAATTAGATATTTGGAAAGGGAAAATTCAATTCTGCCAAATGTTTAGGGTGGAATAAATACTTCATTTAGAAATGGTGAGAGGAGCTTGCAGGTTGTATCATCTTGATTGTATTCTATTCATGTTTCTTATATAACTTATATTGTATTATAACTTTGTATTTTTTTGTAATTTTTGATTTGATTTTTTTCATATTAAAGTTAGTTTGTATTTATATTATATCATTTTGTATTGTTGTATAAATTAATTTTCTATCCAATTTTGTATTATTTTTCAGGTTGTATCAGAATATTGTGGAGGAGATATCAAGTAAGTCTCTTAATTACAATTTTCCAAACGAGTTTTACCTTAACGAGTCAGTTTGCTGATTTGTTCCTATCATTTAGATGTGATAATTATCATTGACACATTACAATACAACATTGTATTATGAAATCAATCTAGCTGAATGACCAGCCAAATTATCTAGTATTTAATATTGCTGTTATTACTTTTCTACAATATTCCCAACTTTGTTTTATACCTTGATTGCAATCGATTTGATTGGATTATACGCCAGATTGTATTTCCTATTTATGTACAATCCAACCAAATCGCTTCATTTACAAATTTCCATGATTCCAGAAAGGTGACTATTGCAGTCAAGGTATAATTACGAAGTTTGAAATAGCTTGAGATTGTGAAGATGCAATATTCCGTGCGAGAGTGAACAAACATAACCATTTATGATTAACATCTTTTTTGGATTAGCATCACTCTTGTTTTAAACATAACTATAACCCTGTACCAGTATCTTCTGTTGAATAGTACAAGTAGTTTGTTACCCTTTGATAGTAACTTTTAACTGTTTATCACCATAACATCAATATTAGGGTGTATTAAGACTTGTCTCAATGAAGCTGTCCTAGGTCTGTAATGAGTTGGATTATTGTCTATTGTAATTAGGTGCCATGGGTTTAAATCCTCCTCAGGTATGAACAATTCTGATGAGAATTGGTCTGATGTTGGCTTTAACTCCCTGATAGCTAACCTAAAGTCAGCCTGACAATATCTATTGTCAAAATCAGAAACAATCGATCTTTAGAAAAAAAACTGATTTTGAAATGTTTAATTTCAGTTGTTATTTTCCTGAGAAATGTTGTGATTTAAATACGTGTTGCCCTGACAACTCCAGAGATGACCGTCTGTTTACCTATAAACTTCACGTCTGGAATATGTGGTATTTCTGGTGAGTAACAAAAATATAGTTCCTTACTTTAAATCCTATAACATTCAAAAAGAAGATTTACTTTCTCATTATCCCAGTCCATGAGCCAATAAAATGAAAAAAGATATGTTTATTTTCCTAACTATTAAGCTTACACTTCTGCAGTTTTGGAAGTTGGGCTCATGAAATAAAAATAAATGAAAAAATGCAATGAATATTTACATCAAATTGTTATGATTATTATTTGGCACAAACACATGCATACACTTTTCTTGATGAGTTACAACCTTCTTAAAATTGCCTGTTGCTTAGTTATCATGAGGAAATGAAAAAGAGATGTTTTTGAATTGTATACCCTTCAGGTTTACACCTTGTAGTCTCATGAAATGAATATTTACATCCACAAATGTTTTGATTCTTATTCATCAAAAACATGCATACAATTTTCTTAATGGGAGGAGCAGAGGTGTTCATGAAGGGGTATTAACCTGTCACCTTTTATTTAAAGATCTACGTCCTACAGTCATTTAGAGTAGCATTCTGCTTTGATATATAATATTCAAAAGTAACCATATCTCATTCTTTTCAGCAAGAACATTTGTGATTTTTTTCAGCTTTCCATTGTTATAAAATTTATTGATTGCAGGTTTATAATAATATTCATTATGATGTCATGTTTTGGGGGATGTGGTTATTACCGTCGGAAACGAATGGCAGCCATTTCTAGAATACAACAACGTGACAGAATGGGAGTTATTCCCCCTGCTACAGATTATATGAACAGACCCCGGAGCCATCATCACAGCGCTGTCAATGTTCATCCTAACTTTATGGTTTATACTGGTCCAGGATTAGACCGAGATAGTTCTTACTTACCTCCCCCTTATTCAGAAGTAGGTTGACTTTTAACTACCGAACAACCTGACTCACTTCTTTAAAACAGGGTCTATGGCTCTTGTTACTTGGCATATTAGTTATTATATTGAAAGATTTTCAAGAAAGAAACATTAAGCATTTTTTTCCGAGGATAACAAATTAGGCTCATGAGTATCTAACTACCAGCTGCTCCTTGGTTAAACCTTCTTGCATATTTACCTTTTCTGGATTTTCGTTATCTATTTACAGCTAGGATGATTGGAGGATAGATCATTATTTCAAGACCTCAGATTTCATACACCTAGTGGAATTTGAACTCACGATTTCCAAGCTCTATTGTCTGTGATTTTTAACCAAATTTTAATACTTCTGCCAAGAGGCCTGGTTGACCATCTCCTAGACATTTTTTTTACCCATGATCCCTGCTCAAACGATGATCTAATTTGTGTGATGTTGTTTTTCAGGTGGTTTCACAACCCAATATGTACCCTCCTAATAAAACCGATTTACCACCATATCCTGGTGCTCCTATTATAACAGCAGATAGTTCTGGTAAGTGACGTACTAATATATTGATTAGATTAACCAGTCACCTTTTATTTAAAGATCTAGCAATACGTTTATCCTTTTTGAATGAATGAATAAATGAAATTGAGGCCTGGAAAAAATAATGTAGAGTGAAGTTATTTCGACCTCCTTTTTTGCCATAGAATTTCATTTCTACTTACTCACTTTAAAATTAAAATAAGCTTACATTAACTGCTATCAATGTTTCACCGATATGTTGTTTGGATTTTGGTTATCGGCTTGGATCATTAGTCCTGTTTATCTATGTAACCTTGATCTTACTTCAGATGCCGGCAACTCATCTGTGACGCTAAACGTGCAGGAACTACATTCACAACAAATACCACAGCCTCCATCTTATAGCGAAGTTTTAGAACAGTCCAATCACAGGCCAGGAAATTCAATTTCAACCAATCAGAGATCAGAACCACAAACCACCAACCTATCAGCATAATGGGTGTATCCTGCATAAAAAAGTGTTCTTATATTTTCCTGTATTTTACTGTAAATCGTGTAACTGATGAGTTATATAGTGGACACTTTAACGATTCCAATACGGTACATGTTTTTAACAATCAACAGTTTTTCCCCATGTTCCATCCAGCACAAACCCTACTTGTCACTAAAATATGATTGATTGAAAATGTAGTTTTTGATAACTAAGACTCATTTAACCATTTGAACCTTTAGTGTAAATGAAATACAAAGTCATATACACTGAACTCCAAGTAATAAAAGTAAAAGTGTATGAAGTTAACTTTGTATGACGTCACTTAATAACGCCCGGTATACCAGCTGCTCTGGTATATATTGCGTAAGTGTTTGGCCGGTAAACCAGCCCCTAGGGTTGAAAGGGTTAAGACAAAAAGCAAGGGATTTTGGAGTGGTAGTCAATTAAAAAGCCATGAAAATGCCTATGTAATAAGATTGCATTTTATGATTGGTAAAATTAATTGATAATTTATAGTCTTGAAGAGATATTTGTGGACTCTTGGTTCTATAATCACAAACAGTTTATTTTAGTTTTGGTAATCTGGTAGTTTAAATAGTAATATCATTAAATAGCTCAAGGGATTGGAAAGAGATTTTTTGAAATTTTGTATGTGTAACAAGGGCAATGATAGCATCAATTTGCACCATTCCAATTTACAATCAGACTGTCTGTGGTTCCTTCAATTCCACTGCAAGACTTAATGTTTGCCTTATGTCCTGAAAAATTTAGAAAATATCTTCACAATCCCTTTAGTTTAAGTCTGGCTTGTATAGTGCAATCCCTATTTATTCTACCTAAAAATAATGTGGATTCATGGTTTATGTTTTATACCAAGATGTACTCAAATATCTTTGCTCGAGTCGGCTATAAATCTTTAAATGTGTAGACTGTTTTAAGGGAAACAACTCTCTTATTATTTGACTTTAAAAATGGCTAAAACTGGATACTTTTCAGCTGTTTAAAACATTAGTTATAGGGCCTTTTCTCTTAATTCACGCTGGTTGTCTTGGTGAGTATTGGTTATCCAAGACATATTCTGGTAGCATGAGATAAGCTCTTATTTATTTCAATAAGCTAGGGAGAATATAGGAGTGACATTGTCATGATATTTTGTTTCTTGATCTTAGATGATAAATATCAAAGATAATGTCATCTCATTATATGCTATACTAGCTGAAAAAATTCACAAAATGTCAGAATTTCATTCTTTAAAAGGAATAATATGCTACCTTTTAGATTGGACATGAAAGTCTCAAACTTGGTCAACAAGTGTGTATGTATTCATCAGTTGGACTTACAGGTGCCATGACTAAAGACGACAATATAATCATTTAACCTAGTAATTATTGAAAACCTATTGCATAGTTTAATTGATTTATTGGAATTTCGAGGGATTCTTTTGTATAGTTTTGACACCTGGTCCACTGATGGAAGACTCATTTTAACCAAATTTCAAATTTTTGGTCATCCTAAGAGGTAGTATACCTTTAAATACAAACTATTGTGTATCATTATCAGCATTGCTCAAAATCAGAAATTAGCTAAATGTCTCAGTATTTCTTAACAAGTGTACAGATCATTATTCAGATTTGTGTAAATTTCAACACAACATGCCCATACTAGAGAAAATAAATGTATGAAAGGGCTAGAAGTATATTATAAAACAGAAATGATATTGTGAAATATTTTGTAATGTATTGTATATATTGTAGCTTAATTTATAATCAGATTATTTTATGATTCTTTCTTTCTCTCTCTTTCTACTCTAATATCAGATATTTAGGCACTTTTCTGGATATTTGTAGCTTCATTAAAATATTAAAGGGACAGAACCGCCATCCGTTTGACAATCATACCTTTGTTTCAGAAACAGAATTTTTTTTAACTAAGCTGTCAGTAATAGTGTTCACAGCTCATTGTCGAAATTTGAGGCTTCATATCCATGTGTGTCCAGAATTATCCAGGTTTTAAAGTAAAAATGAAGAGTCGTCTTTTCTTGAGACTCTGCCATATATAGAAAAGACATCTATAGAAATAGTTAGTGAAATTCCTGGTATTTTCTGTGATTTTCGTACATTTCTAGTAGTTATTAAGACTATTTACTATTTACCCAAATCAACCCCTGAAAATAGTGAACCTGTCCCTTTAAGTACTGCAAAGTTTTACACTTTCAATATATAAGGACTACAGAGAGTTGCTAGCAAGTTCGGGTATGCTTACGACTCTGTGACACCCTGACTTGGTTTTTATACAGCAGTATTCAATGTCTAGTCTATATTTGGGTTGTGAACTTGTTTCAGAGAGTCCACATACCTATTATTATTTATTTATGAAATTGTTATCTGATTTGAATTAGATGATATTTACCAGTCATGTCTGACTAATGCTAAGGCTTAGACTGTTGTCAAGCTGGACTCGAGTTTTGATTTGAATGTCAAATTATAAATGACTGTGTGAATTATATTGCATCAAACATGCATGCCCTGAATGTGCCTATATATCCATAACTTCAAACAATGATTCTTCATTTTAAATTATAAATTTTTAGATATCCTTTTTATAAGGTCTTTGAAAACAGATCTAAATCTCAAAAAATCTCTGCGAGAACACGAGCTGTCTTGGTCGAAGATTTTTGTCCCTGACTCGAATCTTGAGAAAAATCTTGTGTGTGCCCATGCTTCCATGACAAGATTATCGTGTCGCCTACAGGATTTATGATTCAAACAAGTTTGATAATTGTCTCCGATAGTGTTACGTCTGCAAGATGTCATCAACCAATTGGATTCATTTTCCTTTCAATGGCATGATCTCCACATGATTATCTACAAGGTCGAAAAAGACTGACTAGAATTTTTGCCCCTGTGTCAGCTGAAACTCAAGACAAAACTAATCAGCGACAAAAGTCTCGAACCAAAACCACTTGTTTGCCCGCACCTTAAAACATCAGACATCACCTGACTCTGGTTTTTATTTCAGAGGATGTACTACTATGTACTATAGTTTGTTTTTATGTTTTAAACTGACCTGGATGTACATGAATATCTGCTAGTCTTGAGCTCAAAATATAAAGAGTTTAAAAGTAGTATTAGGTGTGAAATTAGATTGACACAAAACCATTTTATTGCTTGTTTTTTTTTTCATTTTATATTTTTCAACAAAACCACTCTAATTTTATTGACCTGACTGCGTTCTCTCGAAAACCATCTTAGAGCTAGAACATCCTAGGTTCTTATCTTCTAACATTGATTTTAGGACATCCTAGCGCTAAGATCATTTCGAGAATACATGGCCAGAGATGTATTTTTACATGTTAATTTTATTGGCTAGTTTATTCAGCTGGACAGGATCCATTAAACCACAATTAAACTCAAGCTATTCCTTGATAATTATTCCAACAGTCAAACAATTACAATATTCTCAAAACTATTGGAATACTGTGTATTTTTTGAGAAATGAAACACGAGTGAATCATAAAATATCTGTGAAATTTTTTTTCTATAAATATTCTATGGTTAAAATTGAAATTTGATAAGATGGACAGGATCCATTTAAATATGATATTCAAGCTATTCTTTAAATTTAGAATTACTTTTTAATATAATTTTCTTTTGTTTTTCAAATTGTATAAATTTGTGTTCATATGATTGAATGTATTAAAAACCTTCTTTTTGTAATGAATCGCTTTCATTTTTTTTCCACATTAAAGATCCCATTACAGTTTGAAAAAAAAACAAAGAGCAGGATATTGCCACTGTCCTGGCAAAATATCCCTCATTGCACCCTGCATGGTGTTGCCTGTCTTCATTAACCCACATGCTGCAGAAAAGTAGGACATAAAACTCTGTCCATTTCAAATCATTTTGATATAGTTTCTATGCATACTGACTAATATACACGTTGCATTTCCTTTGCTAAATTTTTCCCTTTACCCAACTATATTTTCCCGCTTATATACACCCTTTGATTCATTTCCTCTCTAATATATTCCCTTTCCCTCTTGTTTCTCCACTTATATACACCCTTTGATTCATTTCCTCTCTAATATATTCCCATATAAACATCCCTTGAATCATTTACTTTCTAATATATTACCTTCCCTCTTCCTTCTTCACTTATATACGTCCTTTGATTCATTTACTCTCTAATATATTCCCTTTCCCTCTTGATTCTCCACTTATATACATCCCTTGATTCATTTACTCTCTAATATATTACCTTCCCTCTTCCTTCTTCACTTATATACGTCCCTTGATTCATTTACTCTCTAATATATTCCCTTTCCCCCTTGCTTCTCCACTTATAAACATCCCTTGATTCATTTACTTTCTAATATATTACCTTTATCCCTTGATTCTCTACTTATATACATCCCTTGATTTATTTACTCTCTAATATATTTCCTTTATCCCTTGCTTCTTCACTTATATACATCTCTTGATTCATTTCCTCTCTAATATATTCCCTTTCCCCCTTGATTCTTCACTTATATACATCCCTTGATTCATTTACTCTCTAATATATTCCCTTTATCCCTTGATTCTTCACTTATATACATCCCTTGATTCATTTCCTCTCTAATATATTCCTTTTATCCCGTGATTCTCTACTTATATACATCTCTTGATTCATTTCCTCTCTAATATATTCCCTTAATCCCTTGCTTCTCCACTTATATACATCCCTTGATTCATTTACTCTCTAATATATTCCCTTTCCCCCTTGCTTCTCCACTTATATACATCCCTTGATTCATTTACTCTATAATATATTCCCTTTCCCCCTTGCGTCTCCACTTATATATATCCCCTGATTCATTTACTCTCTAATATATTCCCTTTATCCCTTGTTTCTCCACTTATATACATCCCTTGATTCATTTCCTCTCTAATATATTCCCTTTCCCCCTTGCTTCTCCACTTATATACATCCCTTGATTCATTTCCTATCTAATATATTCCCTT